TAATGATTCTCTCTCTTCATTGATATTTCTCTCCCTCTCTCTCGCCCTCCCTCCCTCCCCCCTCCTCTCTGAAACCAATAAGGATATATTTAAAAAATAAAATAATCAAAGAACTTGTACATATTTCATCAAAATTTTAATTCATTAAAATTTTAAGAAAAGCCAACAAACATGTGGAAATATGAAGCGAGTTTAAGAAACTCCTAAGACATTAACAAGTTGACCTCCAAGAGGACACCAAAAAGACAGGATCGTGAAAAGGATTAGATAGCATATATAAAAAGTTAATCATTTAAGATCCTGACAATTGGAGAAAGTGAAATACAAAAGCAATCAGTTCAATGAACTCTAAGTAGAATCAATATAAACCTGAGAACAGATAAAAAAAAAAACAACCAAAAGCCCTGACTGGTTTGGCTCAGTGGATAGAGCCTCGGCCTGTGGACTGGAGGGTCCCAGGTTCGATTCTGGTCAAGGGCATGTACCTTGGTTGCAGGCACATCCCCAGTAGGGGGTGTGCAGGAGGCGGCTGATCGATGTTTCTCTCTCATCGATGTTTCTAACTCTCTATCCCTCTCCCTTCCTCTCTGTAAAAAATCAATAAAATATATATATTAAAAAAAAACAATGAAAATATCATGAATCTCAGAATACAATCCAAAAAGCATATAAAAACATAACTTTTCAAGGAAAAAAACATCTCCTCTATGATCATTAGGGGGTTCCTAAGGAGAATACGACTGGAGGCTAAAAAGGGCACGAAATAGAACACTGAAGAATTAAGTGAACAAAACCATCCAACAAGAATACTGACAAAACAGATCAACAATGGAGAGGGAAAAACTTTTCCAGCTCCAAAACTATCTCATTATTAGACCTTCTCATTATTACATCTGCCCTATAAATAATCCTTAAGAAATACACTCCTGGAGGTAATTTAAAAATTCTACACAAGAAGAGATGAAAATATAAAAATTCCTTGTATAAGAAAAAATATAGAAAAGTTTAAAAATCTGTGGTGTTCTAATAAAGAAACACTTATCACCTTGAATTCTCTTGTGAAACTTTAGAAAATAAAAGGAATATTCCGAGCAGCATGGCTCAGTGGTTAAGGGTCTACCTATGAACCAGGAGGTCACAGTTTAATTCCTGGTCAGGGCACATGCCTATGTTGCGGGCTCATTCCTCAGTGAGCGGTGTGCAGGAGGCGGTCAATTAATGATTCTCTCTCATCATGGATGTTTCTATCTCTTTCCCCATCTCCTTCTCTGAGATAAAAAATGTGTCTTTTAAAAAAATTAAAAAATGAATAACATAAATAAAATCTTAAATATCAGCTATGACACAATGCAAAAGATAATGTGATATC